AGATTTTGCAGTTTGATTTCATTAGCAATCATTTCAGAAGCTGAACATTTTGAAATTATCCATTACCAAAAATTCTGGAAAAAATATTTGCTTTGGGTCATTCAGAATATTTTGTTTTTCCAAAATCAAAATGTTTTTATTTTGACCTTTTTATTTCACCTATTTTACAATGTTTAAAAAAAAATCTAAACGAGTAACATTTTATTCTGGGTTTATCAGAATGGGAGATGTTAACATTGTCTTAAACATTTTTTCTGCTTTTTGTACTCTCAGAATGAAATTCTGGTGAAATTGACCTTGTTTCACCTGATTTCAGAAGCCCATATTCTGGCAAAATATACTACTGTCAAAATGTTGTTGCTCAGTTCTATTCCTCCATTTTCTTTCTTTTTAAGGTACTCAGGCTCTGTGAATTGTAGCTTGATTCTTTATGAAAGTTAACCCAACAAAGAATACTACCTGCAGCAGTTAGCATGAGTTGGGTGGTGAGAAGTGACTACCTTATTTACTTGAATATAAGATGACCTCTCAGTAAATGGATTATGCATAGGGAAATTTTATACATTTGTTATAATTTTCCAGGTATAGAATCTAATTATTGGAGGTTTGCCTTGAATTTGTCCCCTTGCCACTGCTACAGCAGGCAAAATAAGTCTGGGTGGGTCAGGTGGCCCTGTTGTCCTCTGCACCCTAGCCCCCCGCACTTATTCCTCCTGCAGCCTCTTCCCTCCCCCACCTCTTGCTGTATGACCTTACCCTCCCTGAACACATGGAAGTGAAGGACAAATTTGGAAACGTTGACTTTGCAATAGACATGCCTGTAGTAATTTGTATTTAGGCAAATTACTATGGGTACGGATAGACTTATTTTATCCATAATTGATGCACTATAATTTTTTTTTTAAACTGCTTCAGATTGCAGCACAGGTACTCCATAAACACACTTTTAAGCAGCACTTTTGTACCTACTTATATATGGTACAAACTATGCATATTGTTCCAAAGACAAAAGGCTAATGATTTACTATATAGTTCGTTGGACTGGGTTCCAGTAGAGTCAACAGCATTTCAAGCCATAGTGACCGTACAGCTCAGCACTGCTCAGTATGTGTGTGTGCTCCAGATACCCCCCCACAAAGGAGCCATGTGCTAATTAGCCACCCATTCTAGACTGGGGCTGTGTTTTTTTGTCAAAAGTCCTGGGATTCTCCAAAGATTTATATGCAGATGAGGCACAGGGCAACCTGATCCAGCTCCACCTCATGGATGGCGGGGCCGCACTAATCATATGTGATAGGTAGAGAGGGGGTGACAGAAGGATTCTGGGTGAACTGTTTAGGGCCCCATTTGGTGATGCTTGCCAGACATTTAAGGCTGGTGAAAAAACAGGGATAATTGGAACTGGGAAAAAAGACACAGCTCAGCTATGGGAGTGAAGGGGAATTAAAAAGGTATTGAATGTAGTGACTCACTATGATATGACTTTAAAAAGTGTTGGTGCTGATGGGGGCTGAGCACAATGGGCACTACCAGGTATCTTATTCAGATGGACTATACTAACCTATCCTTTAGGTAGGTTGCCATCAGCATCTCAGCCTTTTGACTAGGACCAAGTATTTTGGACACTAACAGTCGGGGCTTGCGGGGAGGGTGTCAGGGCTGGTTCTTGCCCTCTTACTGCCAGCCTGGTATTGCAGTACCTCTAAGCCTGGTGCCATTTCCCTGTGGAGGGAACACCTACCCATTTTTTAAGAGCCACACTAAGCCAGGGGGTGGGGGAAAGGTTTCTATAAACATCTTAGCCTTTTGGCTAAGATCAGATATAGCAGCATTTTGGGCACCACAGGGAGGGTGTCAGTGGCTGGTATTGCAGTACTTCCAGGCCTAGGGCCAGTTCCCTGTGGAGAAAACATCTGCCCATTTTTTTAAGGGCCAAAAAAAAAAAAGGTTTCCCATCAGTATTTTTGCCTAATATGGGGCCATGTGTTTTATAGTCATGCTCAGTGATGGCTGCATTTAGTTAACTTCATAGCTGGTTTTCATTACTGAGTACATGCTGCTTTTGGCAGTACTTTAATGATAGAGAGTGCATTTAATAAGGTGTCCTTGTATACAAATGTAAGACAAGGAGCTTTCCCCCCCATGCTGATTGGGGAAAAATCCTTCATCTTATATTTGAGTAGATACTGTATTTACTCAGGGGATCTAGGTAGTTGAGAATTCTCCCTAAATTTAAAAATTCTTTGGTGACAAAGCACTGCTATAATATTTCTTATATTAAAACTTGTCAATGTAAGAGGTTCAAAATGGCTGCATCCAATTGATTCCCTGTTTCCAGAATAGCCTTTTGTGGCTGCAGGGCATAATAATTTAGAGCAGCCTTCAAGCTCGTGGCCATCTTTCCAAACCCTGATGCCCCAGCCCTGCAATGAGCACAGTTTGGTCAAATCAATTTCTGGCAGAGATTTCAACAATTTGGTTTGGGTCTTTCAAAAGTACTCAGTATTGGCCTAACTCTGCTTTCATTAAAGTCCCTAGAAAGTTTTCCATTGCTTTCAGTGGCAACACAGTTAGGTCACTACTGAGTTGTTTTGAAAACCCTCTGTGAAGACTGCCAAAAGTCCCCCATTTACTTTCTCCCATGCACACATACCGCAAGATCTCGACATCTAATATAATGAAAATATATACTGCTACTACTACTACAGGTAGTAATTATAATACCTGTACCTTAGATATATTGATTTTATTTTCATCCACAGATCTCAAAGCACTTTATAAAGTCACACATAACTGTTACTTTAGAAAAAACAATAAATCCAAAGTGCATATGTACAAATGCATCCTCTCTCTCTTGTTTATTTTTACCTTGTAGATGTTTTCAAAGAGAACAGCATTGGTTTTTCCAGGTGTAACGAAGTTGAATGCTAGGACAGCGTATGCTATTTGTATAACTGATCTGTATAAGGATGTGGAAGGTGACAAAATTGCCTGAATAAGAGACAAAGGAATACATTTCCTGGAGTGGGCAAAAACACTTCTTTAGTGATTGGGGATGGTATTAAAATGTGAGAGCTGAGAATTCTGGGAAGGTCCTATGTTTAAATATTTTGTTTGGCTAGATCCTTTGGAAGGGACAGTGGAATCGCACCTCATGATTTCTGTCATCTCACACCACTTAGCCTTGTATAAAATCCTATTTGCTGAGTTTTGCTCTGTTCTGCGTGTTTTCACAGGAGATTGGGGGTGGAAGGCAACACTTTGTGAAAAGGAATATTACTAGGTAGTGCTGTAAGATGGAACCCTTCAGATGCTAACCCTCTGAATTATCCTAGCACTGTGCCATGATCCAGGATAACATTGGAATAGTAGGACATACCTGGCCTATTTTGGCAGCACAACAAGGGTCATGCCTAAAATGGTTAGAATCAATCAAAAGGGTTAACAGTAGTGGCAGGCTAATTAATTCTGATAGTACAGACCTGTTGGCTAGTGGCATGGTCAGAATCTTAATTAGGCAGTCACGTTTTTTTTCTTTTCACGAGGTTCATTTTCTCAAACTCCTTCCTTTTTTCCTTGTAAATCTCTATTTCCCTTTTAAGTAAAAAACATTTACATGCCTCATTAGGGAGTTTTCCTTCTTTCCTCTCCCTGTTTCCTGTTTGCATCAAAAGTATTTGCATATCTGCTTCTAATGCTCTATAGTCCCTAAGCCTTCATCCTCAGACCTCTGTTTTGGAATGAGATCATGACTCCTCCCTCAGCAACTTTATTTCCTTACAGGGAGAATTTTAACCCCTTTCTCCTTTCATAACTCTCCCAAATGCACTCCCAAGCTCTCTCCCTTTGCTCCTCTCATCTTTTCTGTTTCCCTGCCCTACTGATATGATTCCAGTGGTGATGCTGTCCATGCTACCATTTATTTAATCTTTCCTGATATGACATATTTGTACACCCATGTAAAATTAAATTATGTTGGAAGGAAAACATGAGCCTTGCTGTGGTAGCAGCTAACTCTGCTGTTGCCATGGTAGGAAGACTGTGCATTTACTTTAAAATCATCTCATGAAAAATGCTCAGGCAATAGCGTGAATCACACTAGTACATGACTCAGTGTAGGCTAAATGACCAACCCTAGCAGGTAATTCTAGGCAAGCTAGCTCATGTTAGTATGACAGAAGGATAAGAAGAACTGTAGCAATGTGAATTAATGAATGTGTATTTTTTATGAGGTTTGGTCCTGGTCATACAGGGTGCAGTCATTAGCGGGTATGGCTGGGACTCAGGTGGGGTATCCTGTAGTACACCAGCTGAAGGCCTGACTGGTTGATCCCTCTTTGTAACCCCTCATTCTTACTGTTACCAAACATCTAATTGGCCGGTGCTGTCTTTCCTATAATTCCCCAGAACTTTACATTGATGCTATTTAACTGCATTATACAATAATTAAGTGGAAATTCAAACAGTGTCTATGATTTATGGCTAGTGATTTTCCATTCTGTATGGGGCTATAATGCATGCAAAGTCTTCAAAGCCATTTCTCTTTTATCGGGTTCCTCAACAACTCTAGTTGGGAACTCTCCCCACAGGAAAGGTTCCTTGAGAATTTTCTACAATATTTTCTGGGGGAAGAGGATAAACACTTTCTCTGAAATGACCAAATATTCCCAGAAAGGACAACTGAGAATGTAGTGAATGCATGCTTTCTCCACAGCAAGTACCACTGCTCCAGTTCCTACAGAAACTCTTGGTAGGGTCTGGAGAGGTTAAAAGCTGGCTTGTAGTCAGCACTTTGAAGCTTTTCCATAAAAGCTGTTGTGACTGAGAGGACCTGCTCCTGGACTAGCTATGAGCTCCCTTCACGTCAACTGCCTTACAGTCATCCCTGCTGAGAGAGCCGAGTCTCTGCTTCTTCATACTGTGTTCCTCCCTATGGTGACATTGAACCCTGCCTTTTCATCACACACAGAAAATTATTTAACTTTGTTGTTTTATTCCAGGTCACCAGTGTCTTCAGAAGATCAAGGTAAGCTCTGTTTTATTGATATCAATGAAGGATTAAAAATGAAACAGAGGATAAGCTAGGAAGCTGTGCTTGAAAATCCCCATGGCAGAGAAAAACAACCTTGCAAAGATATCACTTTGATATTAGTCATATATTGTTCTTCTTTGACTTCAAGCACATGCCTGTTGAGTTCAGTTCAGTGTAGCCAAAGCTCTATCTGTGTTTGGATAGTTCTTTAAAATGATTCATACTCAACTAAACTTGAAGGAGGAAGAGTGTTTGCAACATGATTAATGAACTTTATAACCACTGGGAAGAAATGCACAAGCTCCAAAGAGTTTCTGTTAGTTGGGTGAGGAGATGCTAAGCTGTTGTGACCATTAGGATGCAGGAAGTTTGGATGAGAAGGTGAAGTGAATTTTAGTACATTTGCTGTTTGCTTCCAAAGCTTGAACTCAGGTTAGCCTGAAATCTGTTTTGTACATTTGTACTCTTAAAATGCCAGTGTAATGTAGTACAGTGGGTGGCTTCCTTATATTAAAACTACAGAGTTTGAATAGCAGGAGATGAGCGTTTGATGAGCTTTAGTTCAAAGCACCCTGCCACCATTTTTTCAGCACAGGGATGTGTGGGGACACTGATGCATGTGGCATGAGTGCTTTTAATTAGTGTGGCTCACTAATTAAAGTACCTGGTACCGTATCCCAGCACATGTATAAAAATGCCCAAGGAGTGGAAAAAAAGGGAGATTAGAACCAAGGTATATAGAGAGTGTGAATTTAGGATTGGAAATCAAGGTATGATGAATATCAAGAGTGAGATGTATGGAGAAAAACCAGTGTAGAGATTCAGAACAGAGCAGAAAGACGTGTTATGCATCAGGATTGAAGTTTATTGGTAGTTTCTGGAGATAAAATTTTAGTCAGCAAAAACTACTGGGTTTGAGCTTATGCTGTTTTAAGAACTACAATGTTTAACTGACCAAGGACTAATTCTTCAGTACATCCATGCTCCTTTGAATATCAATGACAGTATAAAAGGGCCTTGGAGTGGAAATAAATTACCAGTGAAAAATCTTTTAAAGGGTCCATGGTATAAATAAAATTGGGTCCTCTGTGTCTGCGTTTATGGTTCTATTAAACCAACATGGAGAAAGATTCCTCTGTTTAAAGAGCCACCAGCAATCATTCTTTATACATATTTTTATGGTGTCCTAGTGGAGTTGACATTATCTCCGCTACGTTACGTCTGTCTGTCCCCAAATCATCATATAATTCCACGTGTTAAATACCATATTCAAACAAACGAAAAATTTTCTGGTTCTTTTTAATATGCTGGCTATATATTTTCTGTAAATGCTGCTTGATTACTTTTGGAGTTCAGAAGGTTATTTTAAGTCACAGATGAAGCTGTCTTCCAGTATGTGTGATTTTCAAGACAACTACACGTTTGCCAGAGGGCAGTCCAAGTTTAAATCACTACTCAAGAAAGGTCTAGGGCTGGGATATTAAGAAATGTTACAGGTCAATGCTGCAGTGCATAGAAAAAACTGTAGGAAGGTCCAAGATGTTTATGGTATGGAATTATACAGATTAGAAATAAGAGACATTAACTAAACTGTGAGATAACAAGAGGGATTGGAAGATGAGATGGAAATGTATTGCCAGAAAGATGTCAGTCCAAATAGAACATTCTCCAGTGGTATTGTCCTTGGTCCAAGCTGAGCATTTTTGTCCGTAGATTGACCAATAAAGTACTTTCAAACTTAAAGTTTAGTGTAAAAAAATTAAATAGTCATTGATTTGACTAGATATTTCCAACTGGAGAAAGTACATCCTTTTCTTTTCCCCCCAGTCCCAGGTGGTTGATAAGCATCACTGGAGCCTTTTGAAAATCTAACATCATTCTTTCCTATTTCCTACCCGTAAAAAACATTACATTTTAATATGGTGTTCTGGGACCAGATCTCAAGCTACTTGTCAGTGAATATGCTCATCAGTGATTGATTGCACCTTTTTATAGGTTTTCCTTACATTTATTCTAGTAGTCCATCAGTGAATAGTCTATCTCTTTATGGATCTTTTGAACTTTAATCTCCAATATTTCCTGATGCCATATCTCATTCCTATCTCCTTCATTGTTTTTATTCTGTTATTTTCTCAAAAAAATCTTCTCATGTTCCATTTGTGCCTGCCATCGGGGACCAACTCTTCATATTGATTAATAACCCTTAAACACTCCAAAAATAAAAAATTGTATTTGATATGGAGTATAGGCCCTGACACTCCTAACCAGTTAGCAGTTGCCCATCATACCATGAATATTACAAGGTTCTTTTTAATGGTAATGGAATATCTATTTGTATTTGTCATCTCAAAGTGATGAAGTATATATAACTATTACGGTCCTCTATGAAGGACAACAGAATTGTTTTGATGCATTTCCAGAGGAGAGGTTCCATATTCTAGAGAGACCCCATATCTATTCCATAGTCCATGAAAAATGGATCCAATACTGGAAGATTTCAAGTAGCATGACAGAAGTGATGGAACATCATAAAAGTTATAACATTTAGAACCAGTGCTGCCAGTCCATTCTCTGTACATATGTATTACTGTACAGCAATATCTGAAATTACTCACTGCTCTGAGATGCCTTATCCAAATATACTGACTATGGAAGGACCAAAGAAAAAAGTTTAGTCCTTAACTCTGCACTTGATAGCATTTATGGTGTTAACTAAGATACCTAGTGGTATATTTTCACTAGTGTGGGATTCCAAGATTTGTCTGTGAGACTCTTCCTTCCAGTCCTTAGTTCTTATGTTCTTTTTTCTTAATAATAATTAGCACCAGCTATAGCCATGTGTCCACTCAGTGGGTTAAAATGTGTCTCAGCTATGCTTTAATGTTTCATTATATAATAAGCCAGTACTGTTTTGATGTACATGCTGGAGCAGGACCAATTTCAGAAATGTGTCTATGGCCTCTAGCAGATGTTACACTTATGACATGATTAGTCTGTTAATTGTGTCTTAAATAGTAACCCAAACACATGTTCAGGCAGTTTATGGTGCTACTAAAAGGGAAATCATCTACAAAAACATTACACAAAAGAGTGTAGTATTTTTGTGACTGGTTTCCATCATGCTTTAATTTGAACATGTGGCAGGATTAGGACTACACCAGGGCCTCCAACATGCCTTGGAGCAGTCCCTGTTAGTTGACAGTCAGCTGATTGTCAGCTAGATCCTGGACAGCACTGGGGCTCCAATCTGATCCAGCCAATGGTCATCTGATTGTCAGCTGGCAGTGACTGTTCAAACCCCTGTGTGGTCCTGGAGCCAACTGAGTGTTGGCCAGTGGGGACCACACCCTGGCTGGTTGGAGGCCCAGTGTTGTCCTGATCTAGCTGACAAGGAGCTGATCTTTGGCTGGCTCTGGGGACCACACTGGGTCTCTTTTGAGTCTCAGTGTGGTCACAGAGCCAGCCAACAATCAGCTAATTTTTAGGCACCTGGCTTTCAAATTGCTGGTGCAAGGGGAGCCTGGGATCATGATTCTGAGCACTCCTGCACTGGTAGGTTGGGCACAATTATTGTGCATCTTGCCATGTATGTGTGGCATGGGAGGAGGCATGATTGGTGGGATTTGGGATCAGAACCCACTGTGCCTTTAAATGAACATCTGTCAGTGGCCTGTGTGGAATTGTGTCCCACCAATGACATAGAATGTGGGTCCACATGAAAAAGTAAGGGCCATGTGTCAATTCCTCCATTTTAGGTGAATATGCCCTTCCCTAACACATGGCCACTTTCTAGTGTCCCTGGAGTAACTTTCAAATAACACTATTGATTGGTGGTACCTGAAAGAAGCTGTCTGTTGTGGGATGCATCTTTCTTTTTACTTCCCATCTTGTGTCTGATTTCTTTTCCCTCCACTTTCTAATTCATACTCCTCCTTCCTCTCTTCATTATTTCCCTTTTCTATCTCAGACCTTGTCTGTCATTTTTCTTTCTATTGCCAGACCACCTCACCTTTACTATTCCTTTCGCTTGGTCATACTTTCTATTCTATTCTATTTTATTCTATTGTATTACCATACTCAAGCCTATAATATCTGAGTATCCTCCTCCTCCTCCTTGATCCTCATTACCCACACAAAACACTTCTAGCATTCGTTGCAGCAGCAGTTTTTGTGTCTACAATATTAATAGAAGTGCTCCCACTATCTAGCATTTAATGAGAGCAGTACTTTTATTAATCCCTGCCATGACAATGCATCATGCTGTCTTCAGAACGGGTGAGATGGGGATAAAGCTCCATCTGTCTAGGACTGTATATGCAATGAACAATTGTTAGAGTACATAATGCTTCTTGTTGTGGACACGTGTTAAAGGCACCTTCATCAGCTATAACAAAGGCCCCTTTAAATTGCCCCAGAAAGGGAACAGCGGTTCACAAGAAGAAAACTTTCTTAAGATCTTGCAAGGGGCTGTATCACCATTATAGAATTTTAAGACGTGCAAGTTTTAACAGTGACTTTGTCTTCTGGTTTAAAAAATGACAAAGAGACTGTAATTTTAAAAGCCAGTGAAAACAAAATTCTTGTGGTCCTTAGAGCCTGGTCAGTGCCAGCTACTCAAAAATAACAGGACAGCAAAGGACCTTGTATATGTCACAAAGAAGGAACTGGGGAACTCCCAAATGACACTGCCTTTTTGTGCATGGAATTTCATGCGACGTTTCTACTCTGAATTTATATCTAATACTAAGTCTATTAGAATCTTAAAATGCTGAGTGAATATTAGGCTGAATGAAAGAGGACAGAGAATAAATGTTACCCTTCAACCATAGAACAGGTGAAGCACAGGCAATGGAAATAGAAGTTTACTGCATTTATTTAATAGTCTGCAAGCCCTGAATCAGGGTACTTATATTAAAACACATGAATAGTGTCATTGACTTCAATAGCACTACTCTAGAACTTAAGGTTAGGAACACACTTAAGTGCCTTGCTGC